TGCATACGTAGGGAGGATCTTTAACTATCTCCTGGGGGTGGTAGGGAGTAAACTTGGCCTTCAAGAAAAGTCAGGGCTGAGGCACAGGAATAGAGGCTTTGATGGTGAAGACAGATGAGGTGACTGCAGCAGTGCGACTCAGGGGGACGGGAAGGTCTCAGGACAGTGGTAAGCGGAGCCCAGGCCTGGAGGGGATTTGTGGTGAGGCTTGTTGGTCACCTAGAAGGCGGGCCTGGGTTTGAGAGGAAGGCCAGGAGCCAAATGTCTGCTGAGAAGGAATTTGCAACTTCATGGGCTATACCTCAGGCTCTCTCATGTACAGAAAGCCATTTTCACCCTTCCACCTAAACGTGTTTGCTGTTTGCATACTCCTTAGTGTGCTAATCCTGTTTGGGTAGATGTTAGCCATTTCTTGTGGGAGAGGGTGGTGGGGCCATAATTTGATGCTTTATTCTCATCTCCAGACTAGTCAAGATTTTTTCTGTTAAATTTATAATAATTTTCTTATATTCATACATATGTATTATATATGTATTATCCATCCATACTATCCATACATGTTATTATGTATACTTAGTGTTTGATATTATTAAAGTGTGTCAGAATTGTGATTCTGAGGAGAGGAAACACATTCTTAGAAACTCACCAATATTGAACAGACTTTAAAATCTTTAGTTTGTACTGAGTATAAAATAAGGCATACTCATAAGAAACTCACATTTTACAGAAACAATGAAAGTAGAAACCGAAGGCCCTGTGCTGGCCTAGAGTATAAGCTGAAGATGTACTAGGAGTTGGGGATGTATGTTGCTCTTATTTTTAAAAAGTATTCTGGGGCCCTCCCTGGTGGCGCAGCGGGTTAAAGCACAGCACTGAGAAGCTAAAGCCGCTTCCGCATGAGTTCGATTACTGCCTGCCCCGGAGGTGACCACATGGTGTGGCAGACCTCTCCTGACTCCCCACTGCTCCCCTCAGCAGTGTACTTTGTAGATCTGCCTGTTCTGCTCCCCACTCTGTCTCTAGTGAAGCCTCTCACCACCCCTGAGCCTCTGGCCTGTACCCCAGTTCTATATGGATAAATAAATAAATCTTTAAAAAAAAAAGTATTCTGACTACTTGTTGTACAACATGAAATACACATGTTAAATACATTCCCTATCATGAAATGTCCTGCTTGGCCATGACCTATGGTGGGTCTCGTTGGGAATAGAGCACAACCTTTAATTGGGCTCCTTTTCCCTATCCCATCAAGATTTACAAAGCAAAGGAAGAGACAATGTAACGAGACAACCCTTTACATGCAAGGAGGCCTTTGAAAAATAAGAAATTTCGAATAATGTCTACAAGATCATACGAGAATGTTCATAAGTTTGCCAGAGAATTACCAAGAACTGTCAGTGATGCAAATTTCTGTCAGTAAGAGAATGGATAACCAAATCATGTAGTCATACAATGGGGGAACTTCTTAGCAGTGATGAGGGACAAGCTACTGATCATGTAATATTATGAGTGAATCTCAAAAAGGGTTGTTGAGCAGAAGAAGCCAGAATCAAGAGTGTCTACTATATGAGAATTTATGTGCAGTTCTAAAACAGTCTAACCTATGTGGTGATAGACATCACCACAGTGGTTGACATGGGTCAGGGTGGGGGATGTGAGCCGGGATTGGTTACAAGGCACTTTGCGGGGTAATGGAACTGTTCATTGTGAATGAGGCGGTGTTTTCATCATATACATTTGTCTACATCCACCAGTGTGTCATCTTAAAATCTGTGGCTTTTATTGCATATAAATGATAGTTCACACATTATAAAATAATTTTTCGTATGCAAGGGGGCATATAGCAGATGACTGATTTACCTCTCGGCTCTGCTTACCCCTACCCCAGGCTTTGTACAATGCCACGAACCTGTTGGCCTTATGTGTTGCTGTCCCTAGGGACCATTCTCGAGCCCTGGGGAGCAAGAGTCCAGAGATAAATACTCCAGGGAGCTCTGGTCAGGTGGCATTCTGGAAGGTTTTCTGTTGGTTCTTTAGTGGTCTTGGAATCCAGTCCCTGTGAGCTGAATTTTCATAGGGTGGTCCCTAGGAAAAGGGGAGGTTCCAGGTCCCTGTCTCACCCTGAAGGAGTGTGGAGCTGAGCAGGGAGAAGAATCTGGAGAGGAGACTGAAATGGATGGAAGCAGGATAGGGATCCAGAAGGTGACCTGAGGGAGGCATATGGAACAGAGAGACATGCGAAGAAGCGGCTCTTGTTTCTTGGTCCTGGCCTGGTTGAAACAGATGTGAGTGAGACACCCATGGGGAGGTTGACTATGGCAGCATTAATCTTGGTTTTGATTTTGTTCTTTTCCTCCCAGACTTGTTTGGCCATTTCTGACCCTTTTCTATGGGTCCCCACCAGAAGATGCTTTAGACTTGTGGTGGGCTTTCAGGCCTTGCTTTGGCTTGTGCTATTGGTGAGCAGAATTGAAGAATTGAATTGTATCCCCACACAAGCTGAAGTTCAAGGATAAAGAAAACTTGTTTCCTGCATAGGGATGCTCTGACCAAGGCTCATGTATTAATTCTATTTCTTTATCTTTGATGCTCTGAGATAACAGAGTGTCTGAAAGGCTCAGGAGAGGTTGCCTCTGAGATAAGAAGTGGGAGGGGCCTGCCCCTCCTTGGGTTTGCTGATTCACAGAGATAGCAAACAATTTACCTGGTGTGTGCCTTTCATATGCAAACCAGTGGAGGAGAGCTCACAGCTGCTCAGCCTCCTGTCAGGTCCTTAGACTCCAGGCCAATATTCTGGGCCACAATCACCGCCCCGCCCCCACCCCCCAGGTGCTACACACTTCAAGACAGCCCCTCTGCTCCCCAGTCCATGGAGATTATTTCAACTGATCAGCCCTGAAACTACTAACAAGGGGCTCTATGGTGATGGTGCCAGGGTAAATTGGTGGTGGGAATTTCACAGGGAAATCATACATTGTACAAAAATGAAGGCTGATGCAAATAAATATATTAAAATTAAAAAAGAAAAAAATGAGATAAAAAAAAAAACTAGCCCCTGTTCCTTCTCAAGGGAATCACAATAAATGCTTGTGCCCATATTTTTGTAAAGATTTATTTATGTATGCATATGGAACTGGGGTACAGCCAGAGTTGTGGTGGGGGAGAGGATTCACCAGAGACAGAGTGGGGAGCAGAACAGGAAGATCTATGGAAACACACTGCTGAGGGGAGCAGCGCGTGGGTCAGGAGTGGTCTGCTGCGCCATGTGAGTCACCTTCCTGGTCCGGGGTCAAAGCAGCTGGATAGCTTTGTAGTACTGTTTTAACCTGTTGCGCCACCAGAGTGGGTCCCATGCCACATTTTGCCCTTACTCCTGCCTCCTGCTCTACCCTGGTGCAGCTCTGCATGGCCCTGCTTCTTGCGGCCTGTGGACAACAAATTATATTTCCTGTGGCAATCATCTCGTGATGTTGGCCTCAACATGTATTGATATGTTCTATGAATTTATGAATAATGAATAATAATAAAACCTTCATTTTAAAACAACTTGGTGTAGTTAAAAATAAGTGTTGACAGAGAGAATACAGAGGAAGGGAATTTGGAATCTATGCAGGTGACTATTTTGCCCACGGCCTATGCTTTGGAAAGGAAGATTTGTTCTGCATGTAAAATATAGGTGCTATCAAGATGGATTCAAAGATAATGAAGCATTCCCAGAGTATCTTAGAAATATTTGGTAAAATAATATGGACTTTCTTCTAATTCAATAGAATTAGGCACAGTAGAATTAGAATGACTTCATCAACTTAACATGTTATGAATAACAGGATTTTGATAAACAACCTTAAGTTTGTAAAATACAATTCTGAAGAACCACTGTGGTGATTTCTAAAAAGATGTCCTTGCATAGTTCTCTCCTTTGAACTGTTTTCTAGTTAAGTACAATACATACTTATAGCAGAAAAATAAAAACTGACACAAAGAATTCTGGGATGGAGAGAGAGGAGGAAAAAAAAGGTTTTAGGTTGTGGTAAAAGCTCTCTCTCTCTCTCTCTCTCTCTCTCTGTGTGTGTGTGTGTGTGTGTGTGTGTGTGTGTGTGTGTGTGTGTCTGTGTCTCTCTTTCTCTGCAATACAACAAAGAGCTGTTTCTGGGCAAGACATGAATAAATATCCTTAGGGACCAAAGAAGCTACAGGGAGAAAAGAGACTGACCTCTATCTCCTTTCCCTCAGGGTTTGAAATGATCCCAATGGAGGTTTGTCAGTGGGAGGACTATGAAAGGCCCTAAAGCGACTCTCATGAGAAGAAAACTTGATGGGTCAAGGGGGGCTCAATATCAGGCCCTCCCTGTGGATGAACACAGGTGGTTTGTGACACAATGTGTGTTCCAGGCTTCAGATCTTCCCTGAAAAAAGGGATTTTGGAGACAGTAACTGAGTATGTGAATATAAACCTGGATAGAGTTAAATAGCCAGCTAGAGTAATATAATCCTTCCTTGAGGACTTGCACTGGCCTGTGGAGATCTGGAATAGGGCCACAGCTTCCAAGTGACACCTTATGGGTACTGTAAAAGCAACAGCAGTAAGCAATGGAACCCTGTAAGGAATCAAATAATATATGTAACACTTTGTTCCATATATGAGCGAGTTACTTGTATTAATTTAATTCCACTTATTGAACTCTCATGCCAATCAAATGAGGTGGCCACTAACAAAAAACACTCCTGGCCCTCCCTAGTGGTGCAGCAGGTTGGAGTGCTGCACTGTGAAGCTAAGCCAAGTGGTGGCTGCTTCAGTGCAAGTTCAGTCCCTGGCCCCAGAGGTGACCCACATGGCACAGCAGACCTCTCCTGACCCGCCCGCTGCTCCCCTCAGCAGTGTGCTTTGTCAGTCTGCCTGTTCTGCTCCCCGCTCTGTTTCTGCTGAATCCTCTCACCACCCCTGCACTTCTGGCCCGTGCCCCATTTCTGTATGCATCAATAAATAAAATCTTTAAAAGAAAACACGCCCAGGAGGAGTTGCTGCGCAGAGGTGAGGGCTACAGCTCTCTGCCTGTGGGGTGGGCGAGCGGCCGGCATGGTGCTCTCGGCGAGTCTTGGGGTTCACCTGACAGCCTGCTGGTGGTGCTTTGGGGAGGCTCCTGTACCCATGGGCGGCAGAGCAACGTGAGCATCATCACTCACGAAAACTGGAAAGAGTTGTTGGAAGGGGAATGGGTGATAGAATTTTACGCTCCATGGTGTCCTGCTTGTCAAAGTCTACAACCAGAATGGGAAAGTTTTGCAGAGTGGGGAGACGATCTTGAGGTCAGTGTTGCAAAAGTAGATGTCACAGAACAGCCGGGACTGAGTGGACGATTTATCATCACTGCCCTTCCTACTGTTTATCATCGTAAAGATGGTGAATTCAGGCACTATCAGGGCCCAAGGACTAAGAAGGACTTCATGAATTATATAAGTGAAAAAGAATGGAAGAGTATTGAACCAGTTTCAACATGGTTGGGTCCAGGTTCTATTCTGATGTGTAGTATGCCAGCACTCTTTCAGCTGTCTGTGTGGATCAGGACTTGCCGTAACTATTTTGTTGAAGACCTTGGATTATAGTTTGGGATCATATGCAGTTTTTGCTTTGGCAACTCTGCTTTCGGGATTAGTGTTAGGACTTTTATGGTACCTGTGGCATTATTATAAGGAGAGATGATCAAGTTTATATCAGAAGGTGGGCAAGTGGGTCACGCTGCTTATTCAACTAATCTGTGCAACCTATTTCTCACCTCTACTATTTCTCAATTCCCATTCAAAAGAAAGGAGACTTATTTTCCACTTTCATTATTATTTTTTAAAATCTTGGCCCCCAAAAGGAAAAACAAAACTAGTTTACTCTGTAAGGAAGAAACAGACCTCCTACTACTAATTGTAAACAGTTATTACCGATAATAAGTTTACTGATTATAATTAAGATTGAGACATAGAACTGCTAGAAATTTAATTTTAAATACTGAGCATTTCCCGCCCACCAGTGCAGTGGTCCATGCTCCGTTTTCCTGACTCCTCACCTGCCAGCATCATGCCGGAGTCAAGTATCTGTTACATATCATATTCCAGGGGCCACACACACCCCGCTCAGCTTTCCTCCTCCCTCCCTCATGGGTGTTCCTCACTCTCTTTCACCCTCCTTCTCCTCCTGCTCTCTCAGTGGTGGAGATTGATCCACAGCTCCTTTTCCAGTCATTTTCTCTCCCCTGTTTATACTCCAGTTCCTTTGGTGAATTCATTAGTTTTTTCGATATCCCCCCAAGCCTTCCCTGTATCACTGACTCCACAATGTATCTGCCGCCCAGGCTTCTCTCCTCGGCTCTAGATATATACCTCGAACTGCGTATTTGTCACGTCCATTTGGACTTCAAGTCACCATTCCAAACTGAGCTCCTCGTTGCCTCCTACTGTGCTTGTGGCTGTGTTTCATGGCAGCTGATAGTGACTCCAGCCTTGGGGAAGTGTGTCAGGCCTCACATCTTGGAGCCATCTCCATTCCTCTCTTTCATAGTCTACATTTAATCCATCAGGAAGTTCTGTGGCTTCTACCTTCCAGATAGATCCATGGCCCTCCGTTCCCACTACCTCCTTGTGTCCTCCCTGGTCTAACCCATTGTGCTTGCCTCCCTCTGCGCGTTCTTGCTTTGTTCTATCTTTGCGCCGCTTTAGTCTGTTGTCAACACAGTAAACAGTCTGAAATGTGAGATCACGGCACTTCTCTGCAGCAGTGGCTTTTCATTCCATGTTCAAAGCCTGAGACCTTAATTGACTTACAAGGCTGTGTATACGATCTGGCTCCCAGTAGACTGGGAGTACTTTGTCTCATGCCCTGAGTGCCGGCATAGATCTAGATCTAGACGTAGTAGGTACACAGTCCTTGACTAGCTAAATGAATGAAAGTGGCTATGGGAGAGTTCTTTAAACGCCAGGGCCTATGTAAATTAAACGTTGTTTTTTTTTTTTTTTTAGAATAGAGGGTTTTTGTCTTTTTTAGTTAAGTCTAGTCAGGTGTGTTCATATTTTTCACAAAAGCTAGGAGGACAATAAAGATGAGGGGAGTTTGGCCTACCTCACCAAATTCTTTTTCTTCTGTTCCCAGGACAGGGTTGAATGAATTCAGCAGCCCTCAGCTCCACTTTAATGGCACATGGCCACATCTGGCTTCTCTGAGCTCACACAGCTGTTCTGTCAACTCCCTGCGGGTTTATGTCCCCTCCTCTTCTAGGAAATTGCACTGCCTGTTGGCAATTAGCCCTAATGAAGCAGCAGGAGTTTCCTGAGGGGAATGCATTGCTGACAAGTATAATTACTATTAGCAGCTGTGGGCCTCTGGCTCCATGAAAGTAACCCATCCACCTGTCAGAGTGTGCAGCCCCTCCACTAACCCTGTACCTAGCCAGCAGCCCAGCTCTGGCAGCCCAGCTCTGGCAGCTCTGCCACAGTGGTGCAAGCAAGAGACTGGTGTTCGCCAGCCCATTCAGAGTGTTAACTTGAAATGTTCACATTTCTTTATGTGTTCATGCAGAACTGAGGTACAGCCAGAAGTGCAGGGGCGGTGAGAGGATTCACCAGAGACAGAGCGGGGAGCAGAACAGGCAGATCAACGAAGTACACTGCTGAGGGGAGCAGCCGGTGGGTCAGGAGAGGTCTGCCACGCCATGTGGGTCAGTTCCTGCGCGGGGATCGAACTCCCACTAAAGTGCTGCATCCTAATTTGTTGCGCCACCAGGGAGGGCCCGAAGTGTTCACGTTTCTGCAGCCCAGCTGCATGGGCTGTGGAGCAATAGCAAATGACCAATTCTCTTCTTTCAGTTCCATGTGAGCATTGTCTTTTTCATCCATAATGCCTACCTGCACTTAGAAAGGAGCGGGTGCCCCACAGGGAAGCAGGAATTTCTCATTGTATTTCTTTTTATGCCAAAGAGAAAGGAAACAAGCTTTGTGAAGAGTTAATAACTGATCGTCACCCTTTCTTTACAGGGTCAGTGTATGGGACTTGTTAATACACGGACTTCCGTGTCCCACTTCTGGGGAAGGTATGGAGTTAGTGAGGAGGATTTACATGGTTCCCTTTTGATGATACATTTCTTTGGAAGACTAAATCTGAGCGCAAATTCTCTTCTACTCCTCAGAGGTGGACTCTGATTGCCCTCCCTCTGGAATCTAGACTGACCTTAGTGTGTGTTGGAAGTCACACTATGATAGACATGGGTCTAGCCTACAAAGAGACTAACAGTCTTAGGGCTGTACTTTTAGTACCTTGGGGCAACCATTTTGGAAGGGATCCCAAGCTAACTAGACAGGCTATGTGGAAAGAAAAGGCGCTCTGTTTTTATTGGTCTCTCTCCCAGCTGAGCTGCAGACATCATGAGGCAGAGATGAACTGTTCCTCTATTACTTATCCAAATTCCTGACCATGCGATTTTCATATTTACTAATAACACTAAATTATTACTTGTAGCACCTACACTTTGGGGTAATTTTGGAAACAACTACAGCTTTTGTATGTCTAGTTGAGAAGGTTTACTGATTGTATTAAGAAGATATGAACTCTTGAGGCACTGATAAGGGCCTCAAGAAGAGTTTGATAAGGAATTCTCAGATGGAAGAAAACACTAAGATTAATACAAGAAAATGAAAGTATTCACCCTCCTCCTACACTCCAGTCTAGATCTTCATCAGCTATATTATGAGGTAAAAATAGTGAAAACTAACAAGAAGTTATCTAAAAAATCTGAAATTATTCAAGAAGAGTATTTGAAAAACTAATATACACTATTATCAACACTATACATCACCTTGAGTATATATTAGTCTTGTAAAATTAACGGAACATGAACCTATCACGATTAGTAATACATTAAAAGCCATGTATTCAGCACATGAAGCCAAACTTCTGTACTTTGAGAGTAGAAGTGGTTTTCTTTGCAACCATGAATATAATTAAGAGTATTAACAGAACTTTATTTTACCCCATTCTTTAAAAATGTCAGTTTTTATGTATGGCATAATTCCTACAGAATAGTACAGTAGTAGTTATGTATAAAATTTATATCTGTGTATATATATGGTTATGCCCGTTAATTTAAAATTATTATGAAATATATCATGCATATAAATCACACATATGGGGAACAAAATGTGCACATGGAAATTAAAGAATAATAAAATAATGTATACTCATGGACCAACCACCAGCTTCAGAAATGGACTGCTACCATCCTTTTAGAAGCTCCCTGGATAGCGTGTCCCTGAACCTCCAGGTGACCAATATCTTGGATTTGTATAGATAATTAGCTAATTAGCTACACTGGGCTCTTTTATAAAAATATAACTACATGTAAATATATTTGTTAACAATATGTTACTTACTTCGTCCTGATTGGAATGGTCGACGGAATCATACTGGAAGGCCTCCCTGGTGGCACAAGAGGTTAAAGTGCAGCACTATGAAGCTATCCGTAGCCACTGCAGCACGAGTTCCATCCCCAGCCAGGGAGATCCCCACATGGCACAACAGACCTCTCCTGTCTCGCCCACTGCTCTCCTCAGCAGTGTACAGTGTATTTCAGTTAATCTGCCTGCTCTGCTCCCCACTTTCTCTCTGGCAAATCCTCTTACCCTCCATATCTCTGGTCTGTACCAGAGTTTTTGTACCCAAAGATAATTTTTTTTAAAAAGAATCATTCTGGATCCTGGATTCCTGGATACAGTGATTCTGTCACTGAATTTTGTGTCTTGGTCTAGTCATCATTTTTACTGATGATGAAGACTTGGTTATTTTGAACATTTTGGTCTCAGGACTAAGATTCCTATAAGCTTTCTTTTTGTGTCTCCTGGTACATATGCAATAAGTTCTCTAGGGTACATATCTAGAGGTTACTAGATCATAGGTATCTGAGTGCTCAACTTTATTTTTCCAAAATGGATGAGTAGTTGGATTTCAGAAATAGTCCAAGTTGTGAATGAGTATATCCACGTCCTTTTACGTATTAGTCAACTCTTGTTATTATCTGACATTTTAATTTTGTCAGCTGGTTGTGTGGAAATGGTATCTTATGTTTTCACTTGCATTTTCCTGAATACTTAGGTTCAGCATCTTTTCATATGTTGTGACACCCATAAACACATGTTATGATCACATGTGAATTTCCTCTGTGGTAAAATGGATGTATCCCATCATCAGTAGACATTCTTAAATATTGTAGCCATCAAATAAGACTTGATGTCTCATGGGGTAAATCTTCTTACTTTATATATTTGTCCCAGAGTGTTTCAGTTATATGGTGATAAAGGATTGGGTATTCTGGACATTTTGATCTCAGGAGTAAGATTCCTATAAGCTTTCTCCTTGTATCTCCTGGTACCTATGCAATAAGTTCTCTAATTCTTTCTCCTCCTCCTTCTTTATATATCTCTACACAATTTTTAGAATCAGCTTGTCAAATTCTACATTAATCCTATTGAGTCTTTGATTGAAATAGCACTGACTGTATGGATCTATCTGCGAAGAACGGATATCTTGATAATACTGAGTCTTCCAAACCAAGGATATGCCAGATTTCTTCATTTAGTTAAGTCTTTAATGTCTGTCTTTATAGTATTACAATTTTCCCATCTTTTGCTAGATTATTCATAGAAATATTTACTCCCATTGCTACTTTAAATGGTGGCATTAAAAAAATACATTTTCTAAGTATTTTTTTTTCCTGGAATATAGAAAATCTATTTTTAAAAAAGATTTAATTTTTATGTAGACAGAACTGGGGTACAGGCCAGAGGTGCAGGAGTGGTGAGAGGATTTACCAGAGAACAGAGTGGGGAGTAGAACAGGCCGACTGATGACGAAGCACACTGCTGAGGGGAGCAGCGGGTGGGTCAGGAGAGGTCTGCCGCGCCATGTGGATCACCTCCGGGGCCGGGATTGAACTCATGCTGAAGTGGCTTTAGCTTCTTAGTGCTGTGCTTTAACTCGCTGTGCCACCAGGTAGGGCCAAATATCCACTTATTTTTATATTTTGAGTTTGTATTCAGCAATCCAGCCAGTCTACTGTATCAACTCTAGTAATTGATCTGTAAATTTGCTTGACTTTTTTGCAAAGGACATTATAATCATCTATAAACATTTTTTTTAACTTATAAATCCAAAGACCTTTTTCATTTTTGTTCTTTCTGTACTGATCAGAATCCCTAAAATAATGTAGACTTGCATTGGGCGCTGTAGCAGTAAACTAAGTACAAGCAACCTGAAAATTTCAGTGGCTTACAGAAAAGTGTGCTTCTTGTCCATATTGGGCTGGCTATAGCTTCCACATCATTTTCATTCTCGATTCAAGGTTAAAAAGGCATCCCCTACCTGGGGCATTATTGGAAAGTCAAATATGGCAGAGTCACACTGTGATTCTTAAATCTTTCTTCCTAAGTGGGGTGTATCACTGCCAATTTCCTTAGCCAAAGCAAGTCTGTTGGCCAAGTCTGATGTCAACAGGGTAGAGATGATATATTCCTAAACAAGGAGGATCAGCAAACATTTTGAGTGGTAATACAATCCATCTCAGAGGATGTGCTCTTAATATATCACCAATAGGGGTGCATCTTCAAAAGTGTTTGAAGAACATTGGCTTAGAAGAAGAAATCCAGTTATCCCTTTTGAGTATTTTGACTTTATCTTTCTATCAACTCCACTTTCTGTTAGTGGACTGAATCTTTTCTTGCACTGATCTCTCTTTACATTTCTCCAGGTTTCCTGTTTACCCCTCTGGTAATGTCCACCATTGTTCTTATTCAGGCCGAGTCCTTCACTTTCTTCAGGCTGTGAAGAATTGATTTCCTCACTGCAATCTGTAGAGTGTATGTGGTGTCTGGACCACCCATCTATGTGCCTTTTTACATCATTAAGCAAAATAGAAGAATTAAATGAAAGATAAAGCTTTCCCCTGCTTTCTTCTCGTAAAGAAGAAAATTCCTATTTGGTATGATTTGGTAGGTCATTTTGTAGACACAAACAAAAACAGTGCCATGACTATACATTATTGGCAACTTAGAGCAGTGGCCAGGCATGCTTGTCCCTGTATGTCACTGATGGAGTGAGAATGTATTGTCTTCAGGTATAACTTCCATTTGGCGAGTCATCTTATTTATTGTCAATGTCGATCTCTGACCACACCGATGATGTGACAGGCAGATAGAGGACAGAGAATCTTTGCCACCTGTAATTGAGGTGTTGTGATTCTCCCATTCCACTCACATGCCACCCCAAAGTGTTAGCCTAACACATCACTATCCCTTTACGATACTCCCTTCACTTCGCACTGTATATCCTAATCAACTCAAATTATGTGATTTGAGTATTGCCATTAGATCAGTGAGCCTTTCTGTTTCTTATCCTCTGGGATAGCCTGTCTGATGTATATGTGTGCCCATGTATAGTCTACCAATTCATTAAGAAAATTTCCTACCACGACAGTCCCTGTTCTGTAAATAGCTCTTTGATCCATATTAATTACATTTATTCCCCCTCCCCCAAAGGCTCTTTGAAGGCAGCAACAGTTTTTCCTACTTCCCTAATATCTTTACTAGCAGCCGGAGTTGGACATAAAGTGAGCATTTAATTAATATTTATTGATGGACTTTATTGAGTTGGCGACCTACAAGAATAATAACCTTACTGTTTGTATTGACCCTTATCAAATTTTCTAGGGATATTTCCAGCTATCAATGCCTATACTTTTGTAAAAGTATCATTTTCTTTCATGTACCATATTCCAAATAATCCTTGATCAGTGTGTGTCTATGTGTGTGTACACATGCGTGTGCACACGTATTTGTTGACTGAGATGAGGGGAGTTCGGGGAGGTTTATGAAGGTAACTCACGTTCAGTGTGCAGTTCTGTTGTCCTGTGCCGCCTGTCACTGTGCCAGAATATTTTCATTCATAGCATCATTTAAGTCATTATAAAAGTGGTCCTCAAACTTTAGTGTGCTATGAGTCACCTGGAAGCTTATTAAAGTGCAGATATCTGCATCCCACCTTCAGAGTGATTCAGCAAGTTGGTTTCAGCTTAATCCTGGAGAGGCAGAGACATCCGGGGCACAAGTAGCACCACAGGGCCCTCCTTGGTGGCGCAAGGGGTTAAAGTGCAGCCCTCTAAAGCTCTCTGCAGCCACTGCAGCACAAGTTCGATCCCTGCCCAGGAAGTGACCGTCATTGCCTGGCAGACCTCTGCTGTCTCACTTGCTGTCCCCTCAGCAATATATTTCAGTCCATCTGCCTTTTCTGTTCTCCACTGTCTCTGGTGAATCCTCTCATCCCTGCACCTCTGGCCGGTACCCCAGCTTTTGTGTGCATGCATGCATGCATAAATAAATGAAATTTTAATACAAAGTAGCACCACAGACCAGTTTCCCTTGAGATGGCTTGCCTTTTGTGCTCCTGTGGCTGTATGCACAGGTTTTGGCTATTGTCTGCTTCCTGGGAGGGGGTATGCCTTAATCTCCTGAAAAAGGGGCTCCCATTTGTCTGGGAGTAAGAAGGTAGTGAGGTGCTTATACTTTAAGCCAGCTAGGGGATGAGAGCACCAGCTGGGCATGGATCTGGGCATCAGTGCTAGTGGACATTGTGATTTGAACCCCAGTTTTCTGGGGGGCTCTATCCCAGGGCACTATCTCTTGGGCTAAGTTCCCAGGGAGTTCCGTGCCAATTTTTTTTTTTTTTTTTGCCATCAGAGGTAAAGGTGTAGGACCTGAAGAGTAGGCAGAGTGATGGTTGGGAAGTTCTCATGATGTGGGGGTGAGGAGAAATAGCAGAATATCAGCTTGATCATTAGCATTACTTATATGGATTAAAAAAAAGAATTTCTGTGTTCTGAGTTTGTGCCTAGATATTTTAATCCTTATAATCGGCCTCATTACCCATGTCTTCCATGTTAGAAATTCAATTGCAAAATGGGTAACATCAAAAAGGAAATGATCAAATTCATGTTAGAAGTGGGAGGTGGGTTGGTAGTTCCTGAGTTTCAACCTTCTTTCCCGTATAAAAAACTTGACTCGATTTCAGATGTTTTCATTGTCTGCTGTTCACGAGCTTACTTTTAAGACAATGCTGACATTAGTTATACTTTAGTATAAAACGCCCAACAACTTTTCATGTCCATTTTCCCCTTCTTCTTTGACCTCAGGATAATTAAGTGTCTTTTTCTCCCAAGAAGAAATGTGAAGCGTGTGGCGAGCCTGCTGGCCTACTTGCTGATTTATGGGTCAAGTCTCCAGTTATTACAGACAAAATTTGAAAGTCTCTGATTAAGAAGCCCTGCTGATTTAAGGATCTCGCTAGAAATATGTGCATAATGAATTATCTACAGATAATAATTCAAATTGTCCCTAGGTGATTTATATCACTCGCTTTTATTAAATTATCCATTTTCTGAGGGATAGTCAGGTCTGCACAAAGTAAGATGTAGGGATGCACATAATATTAGAAGAGGTTGATCAGAAAACAGTCTTACTGCAGAAGAGCATTTACTCCAAATTTAAAGCTCATTTTCACAGGGCAGCGAGTATGTGTGTGATTTAAACAGACAGTTTTCCAGAAAACTTTCTTTCGTACATATTTGTGTACTTGGCTTATTTAAAAATAGTGTTTTTTTGTTTTTGTTTTTGTTTTTTTTTTGCATAAAGCTAACCATTTTCTTGTGAGTGCTGATTGAGAGGAGCAGGATAAAAATAATCAAATTATTTCTTGGGGAAAAAAAAAATGGAAACATTAGTCTTCAGGGGCCATTTTTAGCGAGCGCATGGGCCTGACAAGGCATTAGTTAAGAGGATGTGTCACACTTAAATATGTGGGTTTATTTAACAATGAAACAAGTAGATATATAAGGAACCTCGCTCCAGTACTCAGAAAGACCTATTTTTCTTTCTTTCAGGGATAAAGATTATTTTTTTTCAATCTCTCTTTTTTTATGTAACAAGAGGAAGTCTTCACGAAATGCATCGATATTTAAGGAGGCAGGTTGCAGGTTCAGAGAGAGCTCCCCAGATTGTGCCCTCCCTAGGGACCTGGGGAGCCAAAATGGGGAGAGGGTGATGGCTTTGAACAGGGACTAGACCCATCTCTACTCCAAAATCTGGTTGAGGGCTGCTGTTGAAAAAGCAGCTGGAAATATTCAGGGGGAGGAATTTAAAATAAGCACACCAACCTTCTGGAAGCTCATCGATGGCTTCAGCTTCAGCTTCTCCATGTTTGATTTTTCAGGTTATTTTAAAGTTTTCCTACCTCAGGCAAGGTGATTTATTATTATTGGGACTTTATATAACTCTTTATTTTTGCAAAGTGCTTTACAGTCATTTTTCTCTCCTTATTGTGTGCTGTGCCTTCTCTCTCACCACTGTAATTGGTTTTGGGGGAGGTGGCACTTCCTTTCCTAGGGAAAAGAAGATGCTGCCTCTGATTGCAGGCCCTTTCTGAGGTTTTACTTTTGTTTTTCCTTTGCTTTTCTCCTTTTGATCTCATCCCCTGCAGCCTCCTGTCACCTCCTGTTTCTTTGCTCCTCATGCACTCATTTTCATCCCACCTGTCCTCAAATCCGCACAGCCCTCTTGCTCGGTCCCGCATCCCAGCTGGATCATTCTCTCGCCCCTAAGCTCCAAGTTGTCAAGAAGCAGCTTGACATCTGTCCTTCGAAAGTGGGCGTGCCTCTTGTGTGCTCTTGCTGCTGAGGAGCCTGGATCCCCAGGCACAGTGTGATGCTAGGGATGGGGGCTTGAGACCAGAGTTACCCCCTCCACTATTGAGGTCTTAAATCAGCAGAAAGATTAGTCCATTAATCCTGGGCCACGGATACAATAAATAATAACAATTCCCTTTTGCATACAGATATTCATGTTGAGTAGGATGACTTTGTCATTTTTGAAGGTCAGAAATAGTGAAGAGTAGCCGTTTCATGTACTTCAAAGTAAATGCTAATCACATGTAACCTTAGAGCTCATCCACAGGCTGCCGGGACTCCAGGACAGCCTGCCCTGACACTCCCCTCCGGCACCAGAAGGCAGGTGGTGTAAATTCTTTGATAACTTGGTAGCCTACCAAGTCCTTCATGTCACTTTTCTTTGGTCCCTGTTTGCTGTGATATGGGAATACTTCCAGTTACCCTTCCTCTCCACTCATGTGGTACCCCTTCAGCTGGGCCACTTGCTACTCCTGTAGCCCACGGGATACTTCCCTACACCCTCACGCTCTGCCTCTCAACCCTAACTAAACCCCTGCCCTTAGGAGAGGTCCAGGGTTGGGGGCTAGTTGGGAGGTAGGGCAGATCGTCACCTGGCTCTTCATGTTTCTCCACCCTGGGGGCTGTTGGGACTCCCTTGGTGAGCTCTGCCTCTCTAAATTTCCTCATCTCTGTCAGCTTTATGGTCAGTCTCTCTCGGTCTGTGGCTGTCCACTGTTTTTTCTCCAGTGGGCATCATCCGCTGATCCCAGTGTTTCCATCATCCTGGCGAGGCACCACCACACCTATTAGACAACAAACCACCTCTGTACTGTCAAGCTGTGTGTGCATCGTCACTTTTTCTGTGACCTTCACCTATACTCCCTTCCACTCAACTTCATGGGCTCTCTACAGTGGCCTGACCTATGTGCATACAGTCCACTCTGACTGAGTTTTCTTACTGTATTCCCCTCACTCATGCACCCTTCACACCTGTTGGTCCTGTTGGTCAACCTCAAAGGTGAGCTCCTCACTTGACCCACTACTTTCTCCTTACATAATATCTGCTCCCTCCTGTTTTTCCTTTGCTACCTAGCTTATATTCAGTGTTTGTGCCAGGACCCTCAGCATCTTCGTTACATCCCTCTGTCAAATCCACATTCCAGAACTGTATTGGATGGATCCAACTTATGCCGTTTGCTTACATCCAGACCCTCAAGCGCTGTGGAGAAAATCACACCACTGGCGGAACTAGTGATCCTGACTAATTCCACCTGACGCCAACTATGGAGGCACCTAGAAGCCTCTCCCTGTTTGTATAGTCACTTCAGCCCGTCTCAGACTCCACAGGACCCACAATAAATCTCCACTCTCACCTTATCTGCGGTCACTCTCTTGCCAGTTTGGTCTCCGCACAAGTACCTTGGTTCTACCTCACCAAGGACACAAGTCATAGGTGGGGCGGGGTGTAGCAGCACACACGATTTCTGTCTGTACCTACACCCACGCCTACACATATCCGCACCCTCTTCCCTCCTTCCAAATTTCAGCCTTTCTACTCTTAACGAGCCTATTCCACAGCAGCTTTCTCTTTCCCCACCCCCTCTCTCATTTTCAAGCTAATCTTAAAAGGACCATCTGTACCTACCACCTTCTTTTCCCACCTCCCCTGGACTCTTTGACCCACCACACTCCTGGCGTTTTCCTGTGTTGAAATATTCCTTTCTTTTGATTTGGCGACACGGACACATTCGCTTTTCCTCTTACCTTCTCAGCCACCTTTTCTCAGTCTCCTGCTCAGCCTGTAATTTTAATAGTGGCGATCCTTGGGACTCTGTCCTTGGCAGCCGTCTGTTGTTACTCCTTCGATGCCCCGGGGAGAGCGTACAGATACTCACGACTTTTGTTATCTCCAGCTTGCTCTCTTCCCTCTGGGGGTACCCACATTATGCTGTGTTCTCTTTCACTTTGTTCTCCACTGGCTTTTCTTTCCCTTCATCATTTGGTGTGGGATCACTCTCTGCCCCAGGGCTGTAGCCAACACCTAAGTATTTCTAACACAACCTCCGCTTTCATTATCCGTTGACCAAATAAAAGTGGATTGTTAACAGACTGCATCAGTGGCAGTTGACATGGTATGTGCATTTGCAGTAAGCTCCTGGTTCCAGAACTTACATTAATTGACTTAGTGGTGATTGTTACAGACTAATCTTGACTTCTTGAATGAAATTTGAGATTCCAAATCCAGAAAAATCTGTTAGGTTTTAAAAAAGGCATCTGAAATTCTTCAGTGCAAATGAACATATTTGAGCCTGTGCATAACAAGCAGAAGGAGCCTGAGACTTATTTTGGGTTACCCAGTGGTACTGAGATGTCCCCCTGCTTCAGTACAGCTTGGCGACAGATTAAGAAAATGAGTTATGTAGTTGTCCTCAACCAGCAAATCATCATAACCAGTAAAATGTATGTAGTGCAGAAAGAGTGTGTGATTTGAATATGGTGTATCAGCCTTGCAAATAGTTACTCCCAGAGAGAGTTGCAATTTGCTGTATGTCAAATGGATGGTAAAATGACTCGATTCATTCAGTGCACGATCTCTAAATCTCTTGGGGGAAGGAAAGGAAGGCTTGAAAATTCTTGGTTTTATACTTCCATTTCAGTTTGTAGAATACGAATTATGATAGGAAGCCCCACCCCCCACCCCCCCGGAACTTGCTCCACTGAGTAAGGCTTCTCAGATGATGTTTCCAGTTGATGAGTCTTCTCTCGCTAAACATGTTTAGCGAGAGGTACAACACACTTTGAAAATGCCTATGAAAGGAATTTAATCATAGTATAAAGACTCCTGGGGTGAGCATGGATAGCACAATCCTGCCCTGTTCACCATTCCAGGTTTCTTTAATATGTTCTGCACAGTAACACTTCATATGGCAGTGAGGATGCTTGATTTGGGCATTAGGATGTTTCTGATCTCCCAGGAAGCTTTTCTGCCTCAACAGGTGGCAAGCCTCCATGGCTGTCTTTGATGAAGTCATTTACCTTGGTGCCAGCAGAGGAATAGGGGGAGAGTGCACCTGGAAGGTAGGCATCGGATTATGCGTGGTTTGTGGAGTCAGATGATTATTGACGGTCAGCCTGGAGAAGAATTAGGTTGTATGTCCTTTACACAAGGCTGCTGATCTGCCTTTCTGGAAACAACGGGAATCAGGGAAATAAAAGGAAGGGGCTCTTTCGTCTCTGTGCCTTGCCACGTCCAGTGTGTGCTTTGCTCAGGAGAGACTGTAAAACAAATTCTGATGGGCATTGTATATATGCGGCCAAGTTTGACTGAAAATTTGCACACTAATATCTGTTCATCTGCCCCACTTGGGGCAGTATCTTTGAAAACCACAGAATGCATGCTTGAAACGCTAAACAATGTAACACGTGCGGCCTGCGCAGTTGAGCCTGTGTTAGTTAACTTTTGCTGCAGTAGAAACTTAAAACTTGGTGGCTTTTTATAGCAATCATTTCTGCTGCTTTCAATTTGGTGGGCTGCCTGGCGGGTCTTCTGTTCTAGGATGGCTCTACTGATCTCTGTTGGTTTCCTTCATGAGTTTGCAGTTACCTGCAAGGTCCGCTGGTGGCTGGATAATTCAGAACAACCTCACTTATGTTTCTGGAACTTGGCGAACTGTTGGCTGGCTGTTTGCCAACTGTGGTTCCTCTTCATGTGGTATCTGATCTTCCAGAAGACTACTTGAGACTTGGTGGCCTTGACATTAAAAGCACAGCAACAGAGTCAACCCTTATATTTAAGGGATCTATAAGCCTTGCTTGGCTGATGTTGGCTATAGTCCCACTGGCCAGAGGAATCACGCAGCTCAGATTCAAGGAATGTAAGAAAGTACTCCCGACCTTGATGGATGTTGCAGGGAAGACCTGCAACATCAATATTGTAATATTGTAAGGAAGTAGGGGTTGGGATAGGTTATGGGTCATTTTTATAATCTACCACAGAGCCAGTTAGAAGTGGCAAAGCATTTTCATGAGCCTTAATCCACACTACAACCATGTGAGAAAGAAACTGTGAATCCCATTGTATGGATAAATAACCTGGTTCAGAGAATCTGAGTAGCTTAATTACATAGATACAAGCTATAGCATTCTTATCCTGCATTACAGCAGCCCGAATTAAAGCAAAACAAAACAAAAACAAAAACAGGGAAACCCCCTGTTGTCCTGTTAGCTCTGAAAGCATGCTCATGGTACCTCAGCTTGGGTTTTCTTCTTTATCCAATGGTTCCCACTTTTATGAAAAGCCACATTACTGTCTGACTCTTGTTGAAATTCAGATTCCAGGGCTCTACCAGTAGTTCTATTTCATCCAGTCTGCTGAGGATCAGGGGTGTGCAGGCCCCCACCCCCACCCCCAGGAGACACCGAGGCAGCTTCCTCTGTTGGAAAGCCTGGCGTGTAGAATACTGGGGAATCATAGGAGGTCCGTTTTCTTACTGCAGTAGAGAACCCAGACACCACCGTTCCTTTACTCATCTTTCCAGATCCACAAGTTACAAGAACTAGGATAACATTTAACTTCCTTGGGCCTTTGCCTTGACAGCTACAGAATAAGGAAAAGAAGAAAGAGCCCATAGGGTCGTGTGAAGAAGAAATGAATCGCCTCAGAAGCGCTGAGACTGGGGCCGTATATGCGCTGTGTGATTTTTCTTGTGTCTTCATCCTGAGACCCATTGATAAAGCAAGTCTAAAAGTGGAAAAATTGTTTCTAGAATGCTTTCCAGAAATGCACTGGCAATGTCCATAAATGAGAAATGATGGTCAAATCTTCGTCAGCTCTTCAGAAAGCACACAGCCCTGTTGGAGGGGCGGGGGGAAGTTATCAGATTCCTCAGAATCCTAAGAATCATGAGTGGACACCCTGCCAGGCCTGGAAGGCAGCAGCTGCTGTCATTAGAGGCCAGCTCTATGCACGAGAGGCACAGAACCCCGCCAGTCTTTTCCAAGTTGCTAAGAACATCTGGTGTCAGCACTATTGTGTGTATGTTTTCAGGCTCTGACAAAATGTATCATGATTCTATATAAGATGTAGCCTTACCCAAGTCAGTTGTGTCTTTGTGGACAACAGCCCTAGAAAATACTTCCTTATAATAATTTTGAATGTTCAGATCTAAAATATGGCATGGGAATATGTTATTTCCAGAACTTACCAGATATTTCAGGAAGCTTTTGTGTTAAAATGATGCCCAACTAGCTTGTTTCTTACAGTTTCACCATTTGGGCACTTTTTTTCCCTGTATGTTATGCTGCTTCTCCCATTTATGTCTCTATCCAGTCTGTTTCTCTTTTCTCTTCATAATGCTGCTTTGTAAGTGTCATGGTTTTCCTTCTTCATTCTTTCTTTCCTGTTTTAAAAAAAGCCAAAGTGCCCTTTGTATCCAGACAACCAGACGCCAGCTGAAAATGTGTGCCTTTATTCCTTTTTATGGTATTTGAGCCCCATCTGTGGTCGTCGGCTGTGCCAGTAGAGGGAGCACACCTCCCACATTAAACTCCACCGGAGGTGCTTGGGTGGGGTGTTTTCCCCTCATCTGTCATTTTTGCTGCAGTGAGATTGTAGTTGGAAGCTGGTGCAATACAAAGCAAAACTCCTCATCTTGCCTAGACTGGAGCACATACTTTTCTGACTCATGTCAGCAATGCAGGGCTCAACAGCAGCTGGTCTAGATAAGAGGTAGCAAAAAATAATGAAGGTTGGTGCCCGCATGTGTGCTGGGTGCCATGTGTTCTGTTTTTGAAAAGTTAGCAGCTTCGTTCCAAACATACTCCTTTCCCCCATCCTCTCCTTCCCATTCTCCCTTTCGAGTACCCAGCCCTCATCTCTCTGCTGTTTCTCTTCAGTGTCCAGCCTCCTAACACACAGCAACACACACTTGTCTAAAGACCTCCAAATTAAGTTAAGGCTGGTTAGAGCTGCAGAGAAACAAATGTCAGCCAATACCAAAAGCAGGAGGGCCCAGGCTTCTAGAGGATTCACGTTGGGATTTGGGGCAGCCCTTGTCTTTGAACAGACTGCTGTCATTTTCCTTATTGTTGTTGAGCTGACATCTCTTACGAATGGGCTCCAGGCATGGAGAATTTAACTAAAGTTACCAAATGATGCTGTCAAGCAGCTGATTTGATCTTTTTCATCAAATCAACCAGCTGTTTTAAGTCTTTTCTATGTTGGGGAAGATGCGAGTGTCAGCTTTTGAATGAATTAGTGGTCTGTATGTTGCCTCTTACAACATTATGTGCTTTGGAGTACCTGTTAGATATTTAGTCTATCAAAGGTCCATTAGAGTGAGTGGGGATACTTTAGGAACCCCACAATTTCCTGGGTCCAAGTCCTATTCTGTAGCATTAAGAATCTTTGGACTTAGGTCTTGGGAGTTTGCATTTTTAAACAGTTCCCCCAAGGTGCATCTCATGTACCTGACCCTTGGGACCAGACTTAAGAAATTCTTTGATTTTTTTTTGATGGCATCTTGCCTGTTTCAGCTTTCTCCCCATCCCATTCTGGAGAAAGAAAAGCTGAGGGGCCATGCACTGGGTGAAACTTTAGGCTGGGAACAAATAAATCCAATTTATTTTATATTTTTCTGAGTTGAGGGCTGGAATTTTAATTTGTAAAAAAATAATTCAGAAAAGTTCATTTGAGCCAACAACTTCTCTTGGGGAGGGGAAGCCTACCACTTGATTCTGTTGATAAGCAAGTAAAGGGTGCTTGTCCTGAGACTCTTAGGGTGGCATCTTGTGGGAGAGAAACTGTAACCAACCTCTCTGTTCTTCCACATGTTTAAGGGTCGTAATATTTATCCTGTTGTCTGTTCTGTACCAAAAAGCCAAAATACATAACTGCTTTGAATGAGTTCGTGTAGAAATGTAATGATTTGACTGATTCCATGATGTTGTCCACGTTTGTAGGGTGGTGTCACTGAGCAATGGATCCTCTTCTTGATGTCTCTAGATTAGATCATGACATCAGGTCATTGAGAAATCAGCTTTATTTGTGAATTGATTGGCAAGGAGATAGGAAATAAGCTCAAATCTGCCTCTCCAGTTAACAAAGAAAATGAGGTCATATGGGTTTTGGAGACCAGGGTCGAGAACAAAGGAGTTAAATTTTATTGATTCAGAAGTGGGTCAGGGCAAAGAATGGACTTGGCTGAAGTCTGTTGTGAGACACGAGGCACTTCATGCAAGAAGTGTGTAGAGGCTTATCTTCAGATAACTGACAGTTTGAATTTCTGTTGGTACACTCCTGCCTCTGAGGGTAGCCCCCGCCGCCCCCCTCATTCCTAGCACCCTGTCTCTCCCCTGTGTTCTCAATCTCCAGCCCACCTTGGTGCTCAGCTCAAGGTCACTTGTTTCTACTTGCTTAGGCACTGCCAGATAAACTGTGTGTGTAAGTCTAAACATCCACGACAAAGTTCGGTAAGTTTTGTTTCTTGTTTTTGAGAATCTGAGACAAGTCCAACCGTTTAGCCTCTGTTTCAGTGGCAGTCACGTCTACGTGTCACCTGAAATCAATTCTCCCTTTGCCCTTAGTAACAGAACCCTCATTCTAGTCAAAGTGCACAAAGACTGCCCCAGTCCAGTTAAAGGCGGCATTTCCCAGCCTCCTTTGCAGAGAGTCGTGGCCAGGGAACTACATTCTCGACAGTAAAATATAAACAGAAATGGTGCATGGGATTTCTGTTTAAAGGCGGTGGACTCATTCAGGAAGAATCCTCTGTTGTCTTTTGCTCTTGATCCTCCCTGTCTCCACGGGTATGGGGCAGGACAGCCGGAGCGCCCATTTAATCAGTGTCTGCAGACAGCCCCCACCTACCTCTGTACCATCAGAAAGCCCCAGCGCATGCTGTTTGAAATGCCCATGACACGAAGGTATAGGAAGCATTCCTCGTATGTTGTGTGCACACAAGCAGGTGGGTACCCCAGAGAAGCTGTGGCTGACTCTCCTTTCCCTTTTCTTGGGGCACGTGGAGGGTCGATGCCTGCCCTGGCCTGGGAGGAAAGCAGACAACCGGGCGCCCAGCCCAGAGAAGACACCAGGAGGCGTTTGCCTCCTGGGAGGGGTGGGTTTGCTGGAGGCCAACCTTGAGGATGAAACCCATGCTGAGTTGGCAAAACAAAAGATGGAACTGAGGTTTCTGATGTCTTTGTGGCACTATTCCCCCAATCCTGGGCAGTCCACCTTCAGATTATTTCCACATCAAAGAATAAACATGGCATGTTTTTTCAGTTTTGTATGTGGCTGATACCCTAACTGGGAGGCATTGCAAACCTTCTACCGTAAAGCGTCTCAGACTTTAGCCTGTATCAGAATCTTCTGGAAGACTTTCCAAAAAACAGACTGCTAGGCCCTAACCCCACAGTTTCTGGGTTATAGGTCTGGAATCTGTGAATTGCCTTTTTTTCCCCCCTAGTAAGTCCTCAGTGTTTTTTTTTTTTTTTTAACTTAATGATTTATTTATTTATTTTAAAGACTTACTTATTTATACAGAACCGGGGTACAAGCCAGAGGTACATGGGCGGTGAGAGGATTCACCAGAGACAGAGTGGGGAGCAGAACAGGCAGATCGACAAAGTTCCCTGCTGAGGGGAGATGATTTTTATTTTTAATTCTTTTTTTTACATCATTCTTCATTTTGTACAGTTTTCCATCTCAGTTTAGTCCCTGTGTGCCATCGCTATAGTCCTGTGTCCTCTTCTCACCCCAGTTAGGTCCTCATTAATGCTGTTTGGCCTGGGACTGTGTTTTGTAATCCACATTCTTTCGTGATCATCTTAATTTTAAGGCAGTTTTCTACTCTGATCACTTAGGATCAGTGTCGGTCAGCTGATACCTCATTTGATAAACCCTCTCTTAGTAAAATGAATGTACATGCTCTATTCTGTTGACTGTGAGCCAAGTCACTTGTAGATTACTTGGTGCACGAGCTAGTGCCATTCGGTTAGCCATGCCTGCTGTCTCTCTCCCTGCTGCTAATTCCTCTCTCAACCTCTTAGCCAAAATATGCAAACAACTTCCAGAGAAGCAGCTTACATTCCACAGGGAATTCCTCCACGCTCACTAGTTCATGCTAAGTTCAGGATGGAGAAGAAGAAAGTGTTCCATCCTCCTCACTTACGTTGGGCAAATGACCTCCGTGCGCGTGTGCGTGCATGCATGTGTGTATCTCTGCTGGGAGACAAAACCTATGTAGGTGGTGAGGGCAAATGTTTTTGTGCTCAAGGACTAAACTTCCGGGTGGAGAATGGGACTTCACTGGGGACTCCTACCCCCAGCGTCGGCTCGCCCTCTGTTACTGGTGTGTGCTAGAAGCTGCCTGTCTTTGCATCTTCAGGGTGGCTGGGTTAAGTCCATTCATTGCACTGTGGCCCTTCCCACTTCCGCTGTCCTTCTCCAAGTTCCAAGGAAATCCTTTCTCTATTAATATCCCCAAACCTTTTTTCCTAATTCCATTACACGGTGTACTTTGGAGTCAGTCCTTCCTGACTTTGAAGCCAGACTTGACTATTTACTTGCTCTTGGAGCTTCCGCAGGTGACGGAGTTTGATAAGATTCAGTGACCTCATTTGTGAAAATGAAGCTAATCATGTCGCCTGCATATGGTTGCGGTAGAGAAGAAATTAGGTGATGCTTATGAAGGACTCAACACAGTCCCCAGCCCCTGGTTAATGTCCAATACACTAGTCTGTAGCTACAGTAGTCTGTTATGACTAATGGCAGCAGCTCAAGTCACTGAAGAAAACTTCAGTCCCAGTATTATACCAAAAGCATGCACCACAAAAATAAAAATGGACACATTGACTGTCATCAAATTACAAATTTTTGTTTGGCAAAAAGACTTCCTTGTGATGAAAAAAAGTCATCAGTTGGAAGAAACTATGTGCAGATCATATATTCAACAAGATTCATATTCAGTATAAAGGACTCCCTAAATTCAGCAGTCAGAAAACCAACAGTTCAATTAGAAAATGGACAAAACACTTGAACGGAAACTTCACTAAAGAAAATATATGAATGACAAATAGGCACACGAAAGTTTATTGGACACCTGCAGCCATTCGGGAAATGCAAATTAAAATCATGATAAGATACCACTATATTCGAATGGCTAAATAAAAATTACTGATAATACTGTATTCAGGTAAGGCTGCAGAGATACTGAATTTTTCTTACATTCATGGTGGAAAAATGGCAGTTTCTTGAAAAAAATAAATGTACACTTATACAATGGAGGAATCATTATGATCCAGCAGCACCATGGAATACTACTTAGCAATAAAAATGACTGTTGACACACACAACAACTTGGATAGATTGTAAGGGCATTATGTTGAGTGTCTTAGTCTTTTTGGTGTGCTATAATAAAATAGTATAGACTTGAGTAGTTTATAAACAACAGAAATTTACCTTTCTTGGTTCTGAAGAGTGGGAAGTCCAAGAGCCAGGTGGCAGCATGTTGCTTTGGGGAAGGCCCCCTTCATGGTTCATAGCCTTCTCAAAATGTCCTCACGTGATGGAAGAGGATGAAGGGAATCTCGGTGGGGGTCTGTTTTATAAGAACGATAATTCCCTTCACGAAGAATTCACCCTTTGGGTCTAAGCAACTTCCAAAGGTCTTAGCTTCTAATACCATCATCTTCAGGGGTTAGAATTTCCACATATGAACTTGGTGGTGGCGGGGGTGGGAGGGGGTGGCTGGGCACAACATTGAGATCATACCACTGAGTAAAACAAGCCAGTGTCAAAAAGCTACATACCTATGATCCCGTTGGTGTGATACCCCCTAAATGGCAAAAAAATGGAGATGAAGGCAGATGAGGGAGGGAAGGTGTGTCTAAAAGGCAACATCACCACTTTGCAGTGATGGTTCTGTACCTTTATGGTGGTGGTGATTGCATAGATTCACGTATGTCATCAAATGCCATAGAATTAAGTGAGACATACAAACATGAATGTATGCAGTAACTGGTGAAATCTGAGTAAGAGCTAGTGTTTAATATGTTGTATTATGTCCATTTTCTGGTTTTCCTGCTGCATGATATTTATATATGATGTCACCAGGCAGTAGCTGGGTGATGGGTTTATTGAGTGAAAAGTAATCTTTAATAATATTGATTTTCATGCTGATTCATTGGGTTAAAGCTATGTTCTGAAGAGACGTGATTGGTACTGGATTTTTCTTAAGACAATTGCTAGGTTGAACTTTTTTTCTTTCTTGAGCTGGCTGTATGTCATATTACCATCAGCATTGTAACATTCTGGAACAATACAGATTATTGAGTGGGAATAAGTTTTTTTTTTTTTTCAAAAGGAATTTAGTGTTGAAATTATTTGTAATCATAATACATCTTCCCATTACACAAATGTCTGTTTTCTCTGGCCGGCTTTAAGTTCTACTCAGCAGTGATAAGGTGACTTTCGTAACACCTTCCTAAGCATGATGAGTTAAGAGTGGATGGCAGTAGCAGACAGTGTTAAAAGTCACTCAGAGATGCAGCCAACATAGGAACCCCTTAAAAGAGGAGCAGAACGAAAAAAAAAGGAGCAGAACGACTCAGCCCTTAAGCAGTGATCTTATTTAGATGCTACACTTCAGCTGGGAAGAGATTTTATGACCAACTCTTAGAGCCTTAAAGATGAAGTCTGTAATATAAACATCCTAGAAGGATTAACTCTAACAGCACAAGGCGGGCTTGGCACATACTGCCATGTATTATTTTGGTTCTCTTCGGCATGAAAGACATTTCCATAGTCAGCGTAACACTTCTGTTTATATGATTCTCATCTCCAAAAGTTTTAGATGTGAAACAAAGCTGTGTAAAGTTGATTCATGAATCTTAATGTCTGTGTTAGTTCACAGTGTCTAGTGAGACTCTGGGTTTTAGACTGGACTTTGTTCACTTCTTTCTGACGAATTAGAGCTCTTGTTTTAGGACAGGAAAGAGTTCATTTGCATTTGCTCTGTCTTGTCCTTGCAGGAAGAAGTCAGCGACTCGGAACCACTACCCATTTGCCTTCTGGAATATCACCTAGGATAGTTTAGTTATATTAAAATAAGGCCATGAGTAAAGAAAGTAATAAAACTCTATCACTGCTCAGCTTTTGCTAAACTCTGTCGCCAAGCCTCTATGTATACTGTTCTCTCTATTTGGAGGGCTCTTCCTGCCTTCTCTCACCGCAAACTGCTTCAAGGCTTTCTAGTAATTTTTTACTCATCTTTCAGAACTGCAAAATTTACATCCTAGAGGAAGTCCTTGATTGGATCAGGTTCCCCATTACACTTTCTTGGCATGCACGGGCATTCTCTCTCATAGTATTTATCCCAGATGTAAGTATGTAAGTCAATAGTTAATTTACATATTATGTCTTTTCTACTACACTGTAGAGTCCACGGGGACAGAGAGGTGTGGATTTATACAGATGACGTACTTACCTATAGCCCCATTACCATACAGGCAGTGTTGCTCAGTAGTTTGTTGAATAAAGGAAAGAATGAGTGAATACCCAAGTAGAAGTGGAGGGGTAGTAATAGTGGCAATATGTAGCATTTGTTGAGCATGTACTGTTCATAATACTAGGAATTGAGTTGAATGTTTTGCATATTTATGCCACTCACTTCTTACCCCAACCCTAAAGTAAGTGCAATTCTTAGCCCCATTTAACAGATAAGAAAACTGTAAAGTCAGAGAGTTGAAGGAAGGGAGTTGTCCCAGGTCACATAGCTGGTAAGATTTGGGGGTCACAGAACAGCTTTTTTATCATTCCTTTATGTGTCTTTCTCCCTCCTCTCTTCATTTCCTACTTGTACTCACCCTTTTTGTGTGGAGAAGATTCCTGATGGTTATGTCTGAGACAGTAACTTTGTTCTGGACGTTTTTTGAGGACATTGCTCCCTAGGGAGAAGCTGCTTCT